ACCAAACCCGAGCCTTCACCGGCTTCAGGAATTCAAGTTTTTCACGGTTTGTCAAGGTTTCTCAGAGTTTTTCAATGTTTTTCAAAGTTTTTCAATGTTTTTCAAGGTTTTTCAGGGTTTTAACCCTCAATTCTGATGAAGGGCCGCCCCCGCGACCTTTTCACAGCGTAATTTTGGTCAAGGGGTGGTCGTATTTTTCAATTTTAAAGGCAAAATAGTCTTCTGAGACCCCCCCTTGCCTCAAACTCCGACCCCCCCTTGAGAGGGAAAGTTTGCCTCCAAAAACACCCCAAATGAGAGGGATCCCAGGATCGGCCCGGGTCCCAGGTAAAAATGCGATTTTTTAGTACTGAAATCGACGCCTCTGGGTGGCCTCTCGTTTTCTGGATTTTTGACCAAACCCGAGCCTTCACCGGCTTCAGGAATTCAAGTTTTTCACGGTTTGTCAAGGTTTCTCAGAGTTTTTCAATGTTTTTCAAAGTTTTTCAATGTTTTTCAGGGTTTTTCAGGGTTTTAACCCTCAATCCTGATGAAGGGCCGCCCCCGCGACCTTTTCACAGCGTAATTTTGGTCAAGGGGGGGTCGTATTCTTCAATTTTAAAGGCAAAATAGTCTTCTGAGACCCCCCCTTGCCTCAAACTCCGACCCCCCCTTGAGAGGGAAAGTTTGCCTCCAAAAACACCCCAAATGAGGGGGATCCCAGGATCGGCCCGGGTCCCAGGTAAAAATGCGATTTTTTAGTACTGAAATCGACGCCTCTGGGTGGTCTCTCGTTTTCTGGATTTTTGACCAAAACCGAGCCTTCACCGGCTTCAGGATTTCGAAGTCCCGCCCTTTTATGGGGGCCGATGAAATGGTTCGTGGGTAGGAGGACAGGGCTTGCTGATGAGAAATGTAAACTTTTTATTTTCTTAATGTTTTGGGATTCTCTGGGTGGGTGGGTTTTTTTCCGTTGCCTACACACACTGCTGGCCTAGTAAATGCTCGAACATGAGATGCTGAACCCTAAACCCTAAACCCTAAACCCTAAACCCTAAACCCTAAACCCTAAACCCTAAACCCTAAACCCTAAACCCTAAACCCTAAACCGAGGGCCCCCCGGGCCCGGGCCAAGCGCCCCCCCCGCCAAGCGCCCCCCCCGCCAAGCGCCCCCGGCCGTGCCGGGGGCAAGGGCCCCCCGGGCCAAAGGCCCCAGGGCCTCCCGGGCCAAGGGCCCCCCGACCCAAGGGCCCCCGGACCAAGGGCCCCCCGGACCAAGGGCCCTCGGGCCCCGGGCCAAGGGCCCGCCGAGCCACGGGCCAAGGGCCCCCCGGGGCCAAGGGCTCCCGGGCCAAAAACCCCCAGGCCAGAACCCCGGGCCAAGGGCACACCGGGCCAAGCCGGCAAGGGCTTCCCGGGCCAATAGGTCCCCGCTAAGGCAAGGGTCCCCCAGGCCAAGGGGGGCCCTTGCTGGCCAAGGTTGAGCCAACGGCCTGGCAAGGGCCTGTCAGCCAAGGGCCCAGGCCAAGGGCCCCCAAGCCAAGCAAGCCAAGGAAAGATCCCAAGGACCCCAACAATACGCCCCCTTGGCCAAGGCCCCTTGCCGGACCAAGGGCCTAACACCCTGCCAAGGGCCCCCCCAACCAGCCCGCATTTTAGTATTGAAATCGATGGCTCCCCCTAAATCAGCAAGGACCTCTACGGGTTCACGTGTTGAAGGCCCGAAAAGGACCGAAACTACCCCGAACCCCAGCCTAAACCCTGACACCGCAAAACCCTACGACGGCCTTCAAGCAAATAAGGGCCTCTACGGGCCCTAACGTGCCGAAGGCCCGAAAAGGGCCGAGGCTACCCCGAACCCCAGCTTAAACCCTAACACCGCAAAACCCTACGAAGGCCTTCAAGCCAAAAAGGGCCTCTACGGGCCCTAACTTGCCGAAGGCCCGAAAAGGGCCGAGGCTACCCCGAACCCGAGCTTAAACCCTAGCGATTGAAAGACTCATTGGCGAAAAATTCATTAATAGGTTCCCTGACCTTTAAATGAATAAAGCCTCTACGGCCCCTGACACGCCGAAGGTCCGAACAAGGCCCCCCGCAATGAAAAATACGATTTTTTGGTAGTGAAATCGATGCTTAATTGAGGCCCTTAAAGAAAGGGAATCCAAAAGCAGACACAAAGGGTTTCCCTGACCTTCAAATAAATAAGGGCCTCTACGGGCCCTGACACGCCGAAGGCCCGAAAAGGGCCGAGGCTACCCCCAACCCCAGCTTAAACCCTAACAGCGCAACTTTAAAAACATCAAAGCAAGCATCAGAGCACAAGAAAGCAAATTCCATAAACCCTAAACCCTAATAGAGTATAGTTTGGGTGGCCGGGGTGGGTTGACGGGCAACGCGAGCGCGCGGCCCGGGGTGTTTCACACCCGAGCGCGCGCCCTCCCCTGACACACCCTAAACCCTAAACCCTAAACCCTAAACCCTAAAACCCTAAACCCTAAAACCCTAAACCCTAAAACCCTAAACCCTAAAACCCTAAACCCTAAACCCTAAACCCTAAACCCTAAACCCTAAACCCTAAACCCTAAACCCTAAACCCTAAACCCTAAACCCTAAACCCTAAACCCTAAACCCTAAACCCTAAACCCTAAACCCTAAACCCTAAAACCTAACCCCTAAACCCTAAACCCTAAACCCTAAACCCTAAACCCTAAACCCTAAACCCTAAACCCTAAACCCTAAACCCTAAACCCTAAACCCTAAACCCTAAACCCTAAACCCTAAACCCTAAATTTTAGAGGCTTCGCCCTGATGCACCAGCGCAGAATATTGGTTAAACGAAAAATTTCACGGTTGCCAAGTTGAAGACATGAACACAAGAGCATGTTGAAACAACTAAAGACATGGAGAGTAAAGAGGTTCAAGACCTGGCAGTTTCGATCACAAAGCTTCGAGACTAGCTCCAAAGGCCTGGCAAGGTTTTTGGTCACAAAGCTTCAACACTAGCTCCATGGCCTGGCAAGGTTTTGGTCACAAAGCTTCCAAACTAAGTAGATTGTGCCCTCTTTTTTGGGCGAAAAGACCGTATCAAAAAAATGACTAGTCCCACGAAGGAATAAACATCTCAAATTACTTAAACCACCCTCTTTTGTGCGAGAAGACCGCGTCGCAGTTACAAATCGCAAGAAGTCTTCGGTTTACTCAAACCGCTTTGGTCCATATCTTCAATTTACTTAAACCTCCTTTCCGAAAATCCCTATGTTTTTTTACTCTAGATCAAGGTTTAGAAGGGTTTGGAAGGGTTTAGAAGGGTTTAGAAGCGTTTAGAAGGCTTCAATTGGTTTAGAAGAGGGGTGAAAGTTTAGAAGCAAATTGAAGGGTTTAGAAGGATTTGGAAGTAGAAGGGCCAAAAAGACTTTACAAGGTTTCGAGGGTTCATTTAAAAAGGGCTTCAAACGGTTAGAAGGGTTTCGAAAAGTTTCGAAGGGTTTTAGAAGAGTTTAAAATGGTTGTTAAGCTTACAAGGGTTTAGAAGCGTTTGAAAGGATTTTAGAAGGGTTTCGAAGAACTTCGAAGCGTTTCCAAGAATTTCGCAGGGCTTAGAAGGATTTAGAAGGGCTTAGAAGGGCTTATGGCTTGGAAGGTTTGGAAGGGCTTAGAAGAGTGTAGCAAGGGTTCAGAAGGGTTTAGAAGAGTTTCGAAGGGTTTTAGAAGGGTTTAAAATTGTGTTAAGGGCTTATAAGGGTCTAGAAGGTTAAGAAAAGGTTTAAATGATGTAACAGGGGTAAGCAGGATTTAGAAGGGTTTTACATGGTTTTAGAAGGGCTTACAAGGGTTTTAGAAGGGTTTTACAAGGTTTTGGAAGGGCTTCTTACTGGGTTAAAGGGGCTTAGAAGGGCTTTGGGGTTTCAAATCAAGCTTGGAAATCCAGAGACGGGGAGACGATGCAAAAAAAACTCTTCACAAGCGCGTTTGGAAAACAAATCTGTTTAAAACGAGCCAGGTTTGGGATTTAGGGGCCCGGGTTCAAATCGGGTTTAAAAATCTAGGACCAGCTGGACCTGGAATTCAAATCGGGTTTAGAAATTTGGGGTTTGGCTTCAAGCAACCCGAAATCAAAATCGAGTTTTAAAATCAAGACCTGTCCGGAAGGCCCAGAAGCACTGACAAAACAAATTTGTTTCCAAGGGGCGCTTTGCAAACACATCTGTTTACTGCGGGCCCTGGAGGTCTGACAAAGGCCAAAAAGGGTCCAAAATCATTCAAAATTGCCCGCTGGGCGGGTTTCCCAAGCTCAAAATTCAAATCGGGTTTTTAGGCGGGTTTCCCAGACTCGGAATTCAAATCGGGTTTAGAAAATCTGGAATTGGCGGGGAACCGTGTAGGAAAGAGGAAAAACTCAAATCGGGTTTAGAAAAGTTGAAGGCTTTGGGCGGGTTCCCGGCCCAAAGTAACCGACACACATTATTCAGTTTCTTTCAAACGTCTCCTACCATGACCCCGCCAAGGAAAATCACGAGGTCGCGTTTTGAGAGTTTTTGGATTGTTTTTAGCGAGTTTATACTGGAAAGGTACTGAGAAGGTGTTTCATCGGTGCTTCAAGATTCTTCTTAGCAGAGAAAGCAGTTCTTATAGAGACCTTTTTTTAGCAGGTCCGTAGAAAGGTTTTCAGTTATTGTAAAAAGTACTTAACAGTTTTTTGAATGGCTTTTTGAACGGATGTTTAAAACGTTTCTGCAAGAATCTCTACGATTTTAAAGACTTTGGAGGCTGCAAAGACCCGCAAGACCTGTCCAAGAGGGTCAAAAGCACAGAAACAAACAAATTTGTTTCCAAGGGGCGCTTTACAAACACATCTGTTTACCGCGGGCCCCGGGAGGTCTGGAAAGCTGAAGTTCGTCCGCGAGCTCTTCGAGGAAGTGCTGGGCTTCAGGCAGGGCATCGACTTCGAGGTGGCCGCCTTCCAGGCCACGAACGCCGCGGACGTGCGGGGCCACACCATCCACAAGGCCTGCGGCATCAGCATGGACCGCTACAGCCTCGACAAGCCCCCGGCCCCCGACACCACGAAGCAGATGGCCTTCTGGCGCTGGCTGATCGTGGACGAGATCGGCATGGTGAGCGCGCGCCTGCTCGCCCAAATGGACCAGCGGATCCGAAGCGCCAAGCCCGCGGCGGACGAGTGGAAGATCGACCCCAAAACCAACCGGCCCCGGCCCTTCGGCGGCATCAACGTGCTCTTCACGGGCGACTTCGCCCAGCTGCCCTCACCCGAGGGCGGCGGCATCGCGGAGATCCCGGCCAGCCTGAGGCCGCGGGGAGACCACGCGCCGCCGCCGGACCCGCTCATCCAGCACGGCCAGGAGCTCTTCTGGGGCGGGGCGGTCCAGGGCGTCACCGAGCTGGTGGAGCGCGAGCGCTGCAAGGACGAGTGGTGGAACGAGGCCCGCGCGCATCGGAACGCCCCCCAAAAAAAACCAAGTTCAAGCATTGTGACCAGGGATCTCATGCACAAGCACGCGCAGACAACGAGCAAGCAAAACATATAAAAACAAAAAACACCAAGGTGGTGGACGAGCTGCGAGAGGGCTACCTGTCGGACAAGAACCACAAGTATCTGCACGGCAGGCCCGTGGAGGGCTGCACCCTCAGCCCCGAGGAACGGGCCTCCAGGCAGCGGGTCATCGACGGGCCCGACGACCCCAGGCTGCAGGACATGAAGTTCGTGACGGGAACGGTGATCGTGGCCAACAACGACGCCAAGTACCAGATCAACAAGGACCGAGCCGCGGGCTACGCCCGCGCGGCCGAGACGCCCCTGCGCTGGTCCGTGGCCAAGGACAAGGCGCTCTCCAAGGTCCTCCAGACCCAGGCCTGCGACAAGGACGCCAAGCTCCGCTGGCTCCAGTACCACGACATGGACACGGAGGGCCTCTGCGGCATGCTGCCCCTGGCCGTCGGCATGCCTGTGGCGCTCACGCAGCACGTGGACCGCTCCGAGAAGGCGCTCCTCAAGGGCCGCGTGGCCCACGTGCACTCCTGGGACTGGCCGGAGAACGACCAGCAGCCGCGGCTCGTGCGACTCGGCCCGCACACACGCACGCACACGCATGCCCGCAACACAAGCAAAGAAATATATCAAAGACGGACAAGGACAAAAACCACATGCGCACATCGCACATAGCCAAGACGACGTCTCTCGAAAAAGACGCAGGTACGTGAAGTTCAAGGACGCCGATTGGACGCTGGACGGATCCACGGAGAAAGGCCTTTACCCGATCGAGCCGGTAAAGCGCACGTGGAAGCTCGATAAGGGCAGGAAGAACCCCGTGCTGGCCGTCTCCAGAACGCAGCTGCCCCTGGTGCCCGCCTTCGCCATCACGGCCCACAGCAGCCAAGGCAAGACGTTGCGCCTCCGCCCGCAACCATATGTGATGCCGTCGTTGTTTTAAGCACGCGCACGTCGCCCAGCGACGAAAGGCATGTATATACTCAAGCTCCCCCAAAAAAAACAGCAGAAACACGCCCGAAGAAGCAAAATGCCAGGAGCGCGGTGCTGCTGGACTTCAACATCCACCGCCGGACCCACGTCTCCTACGGCACCGTGGTCGCCAGCCGCGTCCGCAGCCGCGAGGACGTGCTGATCCTGCGCGCCTTCCCGGCCTGGCTCTACCAGCGCGGCCCGCCCGAGGGCGTCGCGAAGCTGCTCCAAAGGCTCCGCGGCGAGCTGAACCTGGACGTCTTCCGCGAGGCCACCTGGCCGAGCGCCCCCTGCGAAGCCTGCCGGAGAGCCAAGCCGCTGAACCTCTTCGCGGACGCGCAGTGGCAGCGGGCCAGGGCCAACCGCCCGGCCACGTGCCTGGCGTGCGAGAAGAAGAAGCGCGCGGACCGCAGCTTCCAGCCCGGCAAACGGAAGAAGTACACTGCGCGGCCTGCAAACTGGAGAAGATCGAGGACGCCTTCCCGCGAGCCCAGCTCACGCAAGAGGACGCCGACCGCCTCCGGCAATGCCTGACCTGCGTCAAGGCCAAGCCTACCCTGACCTGCAGCGTCTGCCGCGAGACCTACCCGGCGAAGGACTTCTCCAGCACCATGCTCACCATGCCGCCGCATTGCATCGCCTGCAAATACTGCCAGAATGAAGTGATCGGCAAGGAGAAGAGGACCAGAAAAGGCTGGTTTGCCTGCAAAAACTGCAGAGAATCCCTGCCAATCAGCGCAGGTCACAAAGGCGACCGACAATACTGTCTCAATTGCACTACAAGCACAATAAAGGAGAAAGGTGTTCAAACATGCAAGAGATGTGGCAAGCAATGGCAGGAACAACAAGTTCCTGCACAAGCCCGCATGCGATTCTGCCCATCGTGTCGGTACAGTACTCCGAAAGCCAAGGCAAAGCCTCGAACAAAGAAGCGAAGCTTCGAAGAGTAGACTACAAGTTCTCACATGCCAGTACCAAAGCGCCGCGCTGCAAGAAAAAGAAGCTCGCACCCGAAATGCATGCCCCGGCAAGTTAAGCAACGTCCAGAGCTACCAAGAAACACCAAATGCACAAGACACGTACAATACAACACTAATTGCAAAACAGTAGACATCAATGATGTAACCTGTTCCGAAACACCTGTGCGAAAATAGAATCACCAAGCCCTCAAATCCTCCGAAATTTGTATTGGGTCATAAACTGAAACATTGATATCTGCCTACATCTAAAAGACGCAATAAAGATAATATAGGCGAGAGGATACTTGAAGACCAGCTTCTCTTGCCTGGAAATTTGTTTGAAAGCCTGAAGCAGGAGGCACAATGGCTCAGAGATGTTAGGCTGGGCGGGCTAGGCTATGTTGGCCCCTAGTTTCTTGGCTATGTTGGCCCCTCTTAGAGGGTCTTGGAGGTTTAGAAGGTCTTGGAGGCTATGTTGGCCCCTGTTGGAGGGTCTTGGAGGCTACTTAAGGATGTCACAGCACCAGGCCCTACATGAGCCACCGTGTCGCACATGCGCAAAAGGCGAACAACAGAAACCTTCTGAGACATTTTGGAGTTCAGCTCGAGCCACAACTATCTGTGGAATTCAGCAACTGACTGTAGAATTGTGAACCTGGGGTGGCATCTGAGTTTCGAGGGATCTGGGTTCGACTCGTGTTTGCCAATCTGGGGCTAAGTGAGCTTTGAGGTGGGTTCTGACCTTGTAAAAACAAGTTGTTCAAATCGAGTTAGACAATCAACGGTTTCTTGCTTGCCGAAAAGGCTGAAATTGACCCTGCTCGTCCGTCGTTCTGCCTAAAGTTCAGCTGTGACGATTGAACCCCCAAATTTGTTTCAATTCAAATTTGTTCACCCAATTAAAGTTGGAATGAAAGGTCGCGAAAATCAAATCACCAAGCCTTTTTTTAAAGCTCCCAGGTTCAAGTTCGGGCGGATCGCCGTTGTCCACCAGTTCTTTAAGGCTCGCAGACCCAACCTTGAGGCAAGCATAAGTTAAGAAAGGTTTAGAAGTGCTTGAACAGGTTTTAACGGATTAAGAGGGTTTTCGAAGGGATCGAAGGTTTAGAAAATGCTTACTGCGATTAAAAGGTTTAGAGGGTTCGGTTTACAAGGGCTTACAACGATTTAACGGGGTGTGGGAAGATTTAAAACATTAAAACGATTTTGAACTGTTCAGAATACTTTAAGCGGGGTTAGAAAAACTTACAAAGGTGTAGAAGGGTTTAGTAGGGAGGTGTGAAATCTTACAAGTGTTTAGAAGCGTTTAAAGAGGTTTGAAGCAGTTTTCTGAAATGTAAAAGGATTTACAAGGACTCACAAAAGGTTAAAAGGATAAATAATTTAGAGGAGTTTACAAGGGCTTTGGTCTTAGAAGATTTGCAAAAGTTTGGAAGGGTTTAGAAGTGTTCGACGGCTTTGAAGAGCTGAGGAACATTTTAAAGGGTTCAGAAGCGTGTAGAACGATGTAGAAAGGCTTTACAAGGGTTTCAACAGTTTTAAGGATTTGCAAGAGTTTAGAAAGATTTAGAAGGGAATACGGTGCTTTAAAAGGTTGTTAGAGCTTCAAATCAATCTTGGACATACAGAGGCAGGAAGGCGATTGAAACAAAAATGTTTTGAACAGGCGTTTCAAAAACAAAATTGTTTAAAAAGAGCCAGGGAGGTAATTTTGCTTGGCTTTAACGGAACCCGTAGTTCAAATCGGGTTTGGAACTGCGCCCGGAGTTCAAATCGCGCCCGAAGTTCAAATCGGGTTTGGAAATCTGTCTCAGACGCCCGAAATTCTAATCGAGTTTAAAAAAACAAGTCGTTTTTGGGTAAATGGCCGGTGCCCTGGGGGGGAGGGGGGGTCTTACCGCTGAATTGCCTAGGGCGCCAGCTGCGCTGGCGAACCCTAAACCCTAAACCCTAAACCCTAAACCCTAAACCCTAAACCCTAAACCCTAAACCCTAAACCCTAAACCCTAAACCCTAAACCCTAAACCCTAACCCCGAAACCCTAAACCCTAAACCCTAAAAACCCTAAACCCTAAACCCTCAACCCTAAACCCTAAACCCTAAACCCCTAAAAACCCTCAACCCGAAACCCTAAACCCTAAACCCAACCCTAAACCCTAAACCTAAACCCTAAAAAACCCTAAACCCTAACCTCAACCCTAAACCCTAACCCTAAACCCTAAACCCTAAAAAACCCTAACCCTAAACCCGAAACCCTAAACCCTAAAACCCCTAAACCCTAAGCTCCTAAAACCCTAACCCTAAGCCCTAAGCCTAACCCTAAACCCTAAACCCTAAACCCCTAAACCCCTAACCCTAAACCTAACTAACCCTAAACCCTAACCCCTAAACCCTAAACCCTAAACCCTAAACCCTCAAGATGAAGATAAATAGAAATTGTATGTGTTTCATTTCGATTCTGCGGTTCAACATGCCATCCCTACACTGACGCACCAAGAGGTTTAAGTAAATTGAGCCATTTGACTTTTTGGCTTTGTGGTTCGTTGATGCGACAGCACGCAAGGAGATTTAAGTAGAGCTAGCAAGAAGGTTTAAGTAAATTGATCTCTAACCCTTTTCACCATTGCTTTCTCTTATGGAATGTAGGCACGGTCCACCTACAGGGCTCCAACAGGCTCCAAAGGCTCGAAACAAGCTCCAAAAGGCTCCAAGCAGTAAAAACAAGCCCCAACAGGCTCCAAAGGCTCGAAACAAGCTTAACAACAGGCTTAGGGATATGAAGGGGGTTGAGAAGGCTCGAAGCTTCTCTGAGCCTCTTCAGAGCCTCGTGAGGACCTTGAGAAGGAATTTATTCTACCTGTATGAAGGGGGTGGACAAGGCTCAAAGCCTCTCTGACCTCTTGAGAAGGAATTTCTTCTACCTATATGAAGGTGGTTGAGAAGGCTCAAAGCCTCTCTGAGCCTCTTGAAAGCTTCTTGAAGACCTCTTGAGAAGGAATTTATTCTACCTATATGAAGGGGGTTGAGAAGGCTCAAAGCCTCTCTCAGCCTCTTGAAAGCCTCTTGAGGACCTCTTGAGAAGGAATTTATTCTACCTATATGAAGGGGGTTGACAAGGCTCAAAGCCTTTCTGAACCTCTTGGAAACCTCTTGAGGACTTCTTGAGAAGGAATTTCTTCTACCTATATGAAGGCTCTGAGCCTCCTGAAAGCTTCTCGAAGACCTCTTAAGAAGGAAATTATTCTACCTATATGAAGGGGGTTGAAAAGCCTCAAAGCCTCTCTCAGCCTCTTCAAAGCCTCTTGAGGACCTCTTGAGAAGGAATTTATTCTACCTATATGCAGGGGGTTGACAAGGCTCAAAGCCTCTCTGAACCTCTTGGAAACCTCTTGAGGACTTCTTGAGAAGGAATTTCTTCTACCTATATGGAGGTGGTTGAGAAGGCTCAAAGCCTCTCTGAGCCTCTTGAAAGCTTCTTGAAGACCTCTTGAGAAGGAATTTATTCTACCTATATGAAGGGGGTTGCAGAAGGCTCAAAGCCTCTCTCAGCTTCTTGAAAGCCTCTTGAGGACCTCTTGAGAAGGAATTTATTCTACCTATATGAAGGGGGTTGACAAGGCTCAAAGCCTCTCTGAACCTCTTGGAAACCTCTTGAGGACTTCTTGAAAAGGAATTTCTTCTACCTATATGAAGGTGGTTGAGAAGGCTCAAAGCCTTTCTGAGCCTCTTGAAAGCTGCCTCTTGAAAGACTCTTGAGGACCTCTTGAGAAGGAATTTATTCTACCTATATGAAGGTGTTTGAGAAGGCTCAAAGCTTCTCTCAGCCTCTTGAAAGCTTCTTGAGGACCTCTTGAGAAGGAATTTATTCTACCTATATGAAGGGGGTTGACAAGGCTCAAAGCCTCTCTGAGCCTCTTGAAAGCTTCTTGAAGACCTCTTGAGAAGGAATTTATTCTACCTATATGAAGGGGGTTGACAAGGCTCAAAGCCTCTCTCAGCCTCTTGAAAGCCTCTTGAGGACCTCTTGAGAAGGAATTTATTCTACCTATATGAAGGGGGTTGACAAGGCTCAAAGCCTCTCTGAACCTCTTGGAAGCCTCTTGAGGACTTCTTGAGAAGGAATTTCTTCTACCTTTATGAAGGTGGTTGAGAAGGCTCAAAGCCTCTCTGAGCCTCTTGAAAGCCTCTTGAAAACCTCTTGAGAAAGAATTTATTCTACCTATATGAAGGGGGTTGAGAAGGCTCAAAGCCTCTTTCAGCCTCTTGAAAGCCTCTTGAGGACCTCTTGAGAAGGAATTTCTTCTACTTATATGAAGAGGGTTGACAAGGCTCAAAGCCTCTCTGAGCCTCTTGAAAGGTTCTTGAAGACCTCTTGAGACTCAAAGACTCTCTGAGCTTCTTGAAAGCTTCTTGAAGACCTCTTGAGAAGGAATTTATTCTACCTATATGAAGGGGGTTGAGAAGGCTCAAAGCCTCTCTCAGCCTCTTGAAAGCTTCTTGAGGACCTCTTGAGAAAGAATTTATTCTACCTATATGAAGGGGGTTGACAAGGCTCAAAGCCTCTCTGAACCTCTT